TCTGTACATTGTAACACAGTTATACACGCATTGATTTGTGAAATGATCACCACAATCAGGGTATGGCACAGTTCCACCACACCTCAAAATTCCTGGGGTTATTCTTTTCTAGCCACACACTCTAGTCACTCTCTCTGTCTCCTACAGCTTACCCGTGCTCTGTCACTAGAGTTAACTAGCGAGAGTAGAGACAGAGAGAGTCTTTTTGACTTTTGAGGTTCTCTTATAAATGAACCCTATAGTGGGCAACCTTTGAGTCTGACTTCTTTCACTCAGCATCATGCCTCTGAGGCTTACCCCAGTTGTGTATACCTAGACTTTGTTCAGCTGAAGGGGTGAGTTGAGGGTAGGGGGTAGGCAGATTCCACCCGCCTTTTCTGCTAGCCAAATCCTGCACTCCTGCACCTTTTTGGAAGAAGTACTGTTAACTCAATTTCACGTGTGGAATAGCTGTGACCCTGGACAGTGGAGAGTCAAACAGACCAGATGACCTTCCTGAAGACCTTCTTTGAAGCCACAAGGTCTTGTTCCCTTCTGATATGGTTTTAAGATCTGATACTCTCTGGGTGTCCCCAGACAGGAGAGAGCTCAACAGGCTAGGCTGGTCAGACTTTTTCCTAAATCGTGATTCAGTTGGATTGGGGGGAGACGGGGGAGATGTTTGTCAGGAGACTGTGGATGAACGGAGGGCAGAGGGAGAGCAAGCCAGAGAGGTCAAGGCCGTGCCCAGCACAGAGGTGTCAGGAAGTGGTCGCTGGTGAGGGAAGCGAGGGAGGGAGGAGGAGCTTCACACTGGGGGCTCAGTTAGAGGCTAGGGGCAGTCAGGGTCACCGGCGTGTACTGCTCAGTGCTGGGGTGCTCCATGGCTCTGACACCCCATCAGCCTGCAAAATAAGGTGCGTGATCCTCCCCAGGAAGGAGTCAGTGCAAAACAAACTCTCCCTCTCGCTGGGGAAATAATGCAAAGCCCTCCTGGGGGCCATGCTTGGACAAGGAGGGGTCCTGTTTGTGCTTTTTCTCCCTACTCCTCCACATTTCATACGTCACTTCCCAAACACGAGTGGCGCCCATCAGGGCTTGTTCCGTGAATTGAGCTCCAGGCAGGCATTTACACGGGATCCCGCACAGGGAACCTTCCCAGAGGCCCGAGTCCCATGTCTGCACTGTAAGTGTGGGCTCCAGATGGGGTCTAAATGGAATGGGAGGTCTGGCTCAGCCACTGTCTGCAGGGCTCTGGAGAAATTATTTAATGCCTGAGCCAGCTTCCCCCTCATGTGTGAGTGGAGCTGAGTCCCCGTTCCTACAGGGCTGCTGAGAGGAAGCCTGTGATGTGTCCAATAAAGAGCACACTCCTGGGCGGTGGCCCCTGACTTGCCTCTCTGCTGCTATTACACCCCACAGTGAACGCTGCTCTCTGCTCTTCAGTTGATCGAGCCGGCACTTCACTCACCCGGCCCTCCCATACTCTGCCCAGTAGCCACAGCCAGGTCTCCCTTTAGGAGATCCACTTAGGATGCATGAGCTACACGGAGGCCTGGAGGGCTCTGGAACCAGGAAGCAGGCCACCTGCTGCTTCTGAGCACTTGCCTTGATGCTGCTCTGCAGGCTCCTGGGCTGGGTGGGTCTCGCCAGGACTGAGCTGAGTTGAAGGCTGTAACTCCTGGGCCCAGACTGTCTTTCCCAAGTTCCAGAAGGCCTGAGGCCAGACCCTAGACTGGGCTCACAGTTCACCTGGTGTAGCCTGCCGGCAGCTTACACAGCAGAGCTCTTCTGACTGCAGAATGGCGCTGAGTTCTTTCCCCCTCCTCTTCCCCCTCAATGTTACCCCTCCCCTACGCTTTACAAGGCCCCCTGACCCAGTGTCCCCCATCCAGCGCCTCTCTGCATAGTTCTCCCTCAGCTCCTCTCACCCCACCTGCTGTCCCTGAGCTGGCATCATCACCCAGTTGCCATGACGATGGTTGTCAAGAAAGTCCTTGGCACTGAGCACCTGCATCTGAGTGCCCTGTTTCATGAGAAGCCAGGGCCGCCTCCTCCTCAGCCCCCGACTCCCCAGCAAGGACCCTGCGTCCTCAGAGCAGAGGCACCCTTGGTCATGGGCAGCCTGGAGGCCTAGCCCTGGCCTTGGAAAGAGAGGCCCCATGTTTCTCCTGGGACCTTGTGCCCTCAGCTCCAGGAGGGACCCCTCTGTGCTAGCCCCAGTGGTGGCGAGTCCTGGCCGCCACGCACTCTCTTCCCTCCCTAAGAGGCGACAGGAGAGCAGCGGGTTTTATAGTCGGCAGCTGTAGGGGATTAGCAGTGGGAATTGCCAGGAAGAAGGGATTTGGGATGGGCCCTCATTAAGGTCGCAAATTTCCACCCCAATTTCTGTGGAATTTGTTCTGATGTTTAAAAGGCAAACTGACTTCTCAGCATATTCAAACTGGGCCAGGTCACTGGCACCCATCAAAGGGTGGAACTAATCGTTCATTGTTCTGTAGCATTTCCTCTTCGTGGCCACAGTCTGAGAAAAGGCAGCAGGGCCAGGGCGACGGTGTGGACATTCCCCTGCTTGCTCGCAGGGTCTCTTTGGAGGAAGGGTCAGGCCGCACTTGGAGCCCAGAGCGCTGATGGACGTGGAGTCAGCCCCGCCTCACCCGGCAGCAAAGCGAGCAGCCTCTGCGCTGTGTTGCTGAGGTTCCCTTCCCTCGAGCCTCTGGCCCCCAAACCAGGCCCCGTCCACTTGCCCAGGCTGATGCTCCTCGGCCTCATCCGTGTCAGCGCGGAGACAGTGGCGGTGCTGAGAGTGGGACGTTGCCCCACCCCATTGCCCCTCCCCCCCTCCCCACACCTCCAATGTGAACCCCCTGCTCAGATCCAGAGCCTGGGGTGTGCTGAGGAGACTGAGGCCCCCCCAGGGGAAGACGCGGGGGACTGAGTCGGGATGGGCCCCGATGGCCAGGGCTGTCTGTGTCCTGTTCGGGCCCAGTGGCCATGTCTTGGCTTCTCAGATTACCCAATGACTCCCCCAGTCATGAAAGCCTGGGTGATCGGATTATGAAAGGCAGCCCCAAATCCTTCCCACCAGAATTCTCCTGTCTCACCTGCTGCTTCTCTTAGTGTATTTCAATACATTTGTTTTGTCTCTGGTGAATTCTTTCTGTTCTCCACTTTGTCTCTGGTGAATTCTTTCGCCCCTGCACCTGCGTACACCTTGATGACTCTTCCCCACAACAAGGAGCGGTGTCAGCAAGAATGGTCTCATGGCTGAAGGGGTTGGAGGCCAGTATTTAAAAGTGACTGACGTACACACCACACATGACAATCAAAGAGAACTTTTCTTGTATTTTATTCTCTCAACAGCCTCAGGGAGAGTCATCATTTTTTTTAATTAAAAATACTTTAATGGTGATAAGGGAAATTAACATGAAATGGGGCTGGTGTAAAATACATGGATTTCAGACAACGATGTGTCCTGGACAAAGAAGGAGAGAGGAGAGACAACTATACAATAGGACAGTGAGAAATAACGATGATAATGTTCAAAGAATTTGGAATATGGTGTCAAAAGAAACTAAAAACTTGTTTAGTTCTAATATGGAAAAAGGTAAAGAATTTTAGGAAAATAGGGCCTCCCTAGTGGCACATGGGTTAAAGACAGAGCTATCAAGCTATCGCCAGCCACTGTAGCACGAGTTCAATCCCTGGCTGGCCAGGGAGCTACCCACATGGCATGGCAGACCTCTCCTGACGCGCCCGCTGCTCCCCTCAGCAGTGTACTTCGGTCCTTCTGCCTGTTCTGTTCCCCGCTCTGTCTCTGGTGGATCCTTTCACTCCCCTGCACCTCTGGTTTATACCCCAATTCTTGTATGCATAAATAAATAAATCCTTAAAAAAATTTTTAGGAAAATAATCTGCTCCTAGATCATGATGTGTTTGGAAGTTATTAGCCCTATAATACGGATCATGAGGACAAGCGAAAAGAAAGATTTTTCAGAAAACGAACACTGTGAAAGAACCTTCACTGCACGTGCCTGAGTCAAGTGCGTGGCGCTGCCTGGCTGCTGCGGAGGTCGCCGGGACCATCATTCTTTTCCAGTTTTCCTGAGGGAGGAGCCTGTCTCCTGGGTCGTCTGGGCGGTGTTTCTCAGGTGAGCGGAGGGAGGGGGGCCAAGGGAAGCCTGAATTTGTTTCCTAATGTGAACGTGTAAAGGCTGGAGGGCTCTCTGGCCTGGGTCAGGTGATCTAGATGCTCTTCCTGCCTGGGCTGACCTTCCATCAGCTCAGCTCCCCCTCCCCGCAGGCCTCTCGCCTTAGCTCCCTCCCTCCCACAGCGTGCTGCAAGGGTCTTGCTTCTCAGTCCCCACACATCTCAGCTCTCCAACGGGCCTTTCTTTGCTCCCTCACTGCAGCTCTCTCTTGAGGCCCCAGTCCCTCTGCCCTGCTGTGTCTTCTCCTTGGGTGACAGGCGCCTCGGAGACAGCGCCTACACCCCCTCTAACTTCCACGCTTTTCTTCTCCTACTCAGTCTTGCTCCTTCCCAGCCTTGCCCTGCGCCCTTCTCCCCAAGGTCCTCAGTGGGACTCTGCACCCTTCCTGTCACCTCCCGGGGCTGGCTGGGTTGGCAGAGTGGCCGTGGGGACGCAGCAGCAGCAGCAGAGAAATGCTGATCTGTCACTCCTGGGATGGCAGCCTAAGTCCCTCGGGGATTAGGGGTTGTGTCCAGTCCTGCGCCATGGCCCCTCTCCCAACTTAAGCTGATTTCAGGTGAGTAACCCTGGGAAAACAAAGCCATTTAGAAATTTGGGGCGATTACCTAGGTGTGTTGCGAGTTTTGGACCCGACCTCTTGCTGCCAGGCAAACCAAAGCTGTTAATACCTCAATTAGTGGCTGGCACCATTAGCCAGCCAAGCTCCCTGGCCCTATATAAGGGCCATCTCTGGCCCAGAACCTCAGAAGGTCTCTAGTTTGCTCCAGCCTTCTGAGTCCACGCTTCCATTGGAATATCTTGCTGTCCACCATGAGTCGTCAGGCCAACTGCAACCAGCAGTCCGGTGGGAGCCGGCGCCAGGGCTTCAGCGGCAGTTCGGCTGTGGTGTCAGGCCAGAGTCGGATCAGCTCCACCAAGACCTCCCGCTCGGGTGGAAGTGGTAGCATAGCTTCTGCCTGTGCCATGATGGGAGGAAATTTTGGCAGCCGGAGTCTCCAAAATCTTGGGGGGAATAAAAAGATCTCTAGCAGCGTGGCTGGAGGCACCTTCAGAGCTGGGTTTGGGTGTGCCAGTGGCTTTGGGGGTGGTGGAAGAGGAATGGGTGGGGGCTTCGGTGGAAGAGGTGGGAGCTTCGGAGGATCAGGGGGCTTCGGTGGAGGATCTGGAGGTTTTGGAGGAGGAGCTGGGGGTTTTGGTGGAGGAGCTGGTGGCTTTGGAGGAGGAGCTGGTGGCTTTGGTGGTCACGGTGGATTTGGTGGCCACGGTGGCCACGGTGGTTTTGGTGGGCTTGGTGGTGGCTTCCCTGGTGCGGGAATCCAGGAAGTGACTGTCAATCAGAGCCTCCTGCAGCCCCTCAACATGGAGATTGACCCCCAGATTGGACAAGTAAAGACCCAGGAGCGGGAGCAGATCAAGACCCTCAACAACAAGTTCGCCTGCTTCATCGACAAGGTGAGCCTGTCTCAGGACAGCTGGAAATTAAGAAAATCTGGACTAACTGGGTTGGTCTCTTTTTCCAACTCTCCTCATGAATCTGAAGAACTGGCAGGTTCACCTTATGGTCCCAGCTCCCTGTGCGCTTCTGCAGGGAGGGCCTGCTCCCCAGAGCAGTGGATGGTGAAGACAACTGCCAATTGGAGCGGGTGACTGCCCCTTCGCATGCCCCGTCATGGTGGCTCACCAGAGGCTCTGTGGAGATTATTGCCATCTTGATGTCCCCTCATTATTGCCCTCTGAAAGCTTACACAGGATTCCTTTCTATCCTAGAGGAGTTAGGAGATGTACCTCTTTGAAAGAGAGGCTGACTCTACCAGAGCTGAATGTGTGTCTGAGAGATGAGTTAATCTGCTTCCAGCCTAAGGACCTCTCCTTAGGGAGAGCTGTGGCAGAGCTGTGGGAGGTGGGATGGGGCAGGGTCAGAGGTTATTCTCACAGGGGGACTTCAGGGTGAGGAGCTGGGGATGTTGAGGCCATTTGACATTTCCATGTGTGTGAAGAGATGCTGTGTCGAGAATCCTGTGCCCTGGGCAACCCGGGCAAGGGCTTGGTAGCAGGTATTGTGTGACTAGATGGCCCTTAGCTTGGCTAGCTGCTCACTGAGGGCTCATGGAACTCTCGAGCACAGTGTATGGAGATATAGGTGACCCTGGAATAGTGTATATATAAATAAATAGATCTTTAATAAAAACAATTAGATGATATTAGATCTTAAAGAGAGGGCTTGTAGGGACTCCTGGCTGGGGAATCACCACACATTGTGTTTCTGTGCAAAGCTGAGGGAGAAGTGGTTTTAACACTGGAAAAGCAGACCTTTTTGGGGGGCGAAGCTCTCGAAAGTCGAGCAACTTGCTCGTTGCCAGCAGACACCAGGGTGTCTAGAGAAATTACTCACAGAAGGTATTTTCATGTGAGAACTCTGCTCCTGCAGCAGAAGGAGGAGTTCACTGTCCTGGGCCTTCTCCTCAGCAGCTCCCATCATCCTTAAAGGGGGTCCAGAGCATCCAGCAGAAGGCCTTATGCATTCTTGTTTCTCTGCAAATGTTTGTGTTGATTGGCCACCCGTTGCTATTTGCTTTACCTGCTTAAACAGTCAGCCTTGAACTTGCGTACAGATGTGTTTTACAGCCATTGAAAGTTTGAGACAGCTTTAGCCAGTGGTTCAGCTTAAATACACCTAAGCCCTGTATTGAACCTGGTGTGGCAGCAGGGGCTGACCCCTGGGGCGTCTGTACCCTGTGTCTGTGATTCTCTGTATTTTCCACTTTAGTGCAGGGTACCCGGATGCTCTGTAATCCCCTGGAGACTGCATCTGCCATAGGATGTTGGAGTCTCCTGCTGTTTGTTGAGGACTAAATGATTGAAAAATGAGTGAATAAATGATAGAGTAAATGGACTATAATGAATGCTATAATGAGTGGGAAGATCACAGATCCTAAGTGTCAGGAAACCTCAGTTCAGTTTGGTTCACTAACTTGTGTGACCATGATTATCTTTGGGCCTAAGTTTCCTGATCTATGTAGGAGGGCTCTTCTACCCCACCGTTATCCCCACACTGCTGTCCACATGGGGGTCGTCCCAGACAGATGCAGCATGCAAATGCAGGGCTTCAGGGCAGATGGGGAGAGCCCTGAGTCTTTGCTTTTAGGGGAGTTATGAGCCACCCCACTGGAGCCGGCCCCAGCGGCTCTTTGATCCTCTTTCTCATTGGGTGGCAGGTGCGGTTCCTGGAGCAGCAAAACAAGGTTCTGGAGACCAAATGGAGCCTCCTGCAAGAACAGGGCTCTGGCACTAAGACCACTACCCTCAACCTTGACCCTTTCTTTGAGAACTACATCAGCAGCCTCAACAACTTCCTGTGTGGGCTGCAGAATGAGAAGGACAAGCTACATGATGAGCTGAGGAACATGGAGGACTTGGTGGAGGACTTCAAGAAGAAGTGGGTGCTCCCCACCCCTGGGCCTGGGCCTGTGGGCTGGAGGGCGGGAGGGCAGGAGGGGGCAGCTGGCAGGAAGCCGGGCTCCAGGGGAGTTCTGTGACAACTGACTGTAAGTTTGTAGGACTTTAACCCCATTCTCTCTGACTGCCAGCCCCTCAGTCTGGAAGTCAGTGGCTCATGGCTCATTTGGGTCTGACACACTTTTGGGGTTTTAATGAATAATGAATTTAATCAATAATTTGGAGGGTTCCAAGATGCTTGAAGCTCATTCATGAACTTTACAGGTTCAGATGACACCCTCTAGTCTCCCTGTCACCTTCAAGTTCCTTTCCAAATGCAAATTTTATTTTTGCTGCCAACAGGCTTCTGAGTGAGAAGGGACTTGCTTCATAGTTAGGATCACAGGCTCTGGGGCCCAAGGGTCTCGGTGAACCCCATTCTCATCCTGGGACCTTGGGCAAGTTCCTTTGCTTCTCTGTGCTTCGGTCTCCATAGCTACACAATGGGGGCAGAGTATCCCTTTGGTTGTGACAAGGATGAAATGAGTTAACACAGCATAATTCATGGAGTAGGACCTGCCACAATTTTTAGTGACTCTGTTTAAGTAACTACTGAGAGCCCCGTGCCTGCTGTGCTCAGAGTTGGCATCAGGCACCTTCCCCCAATTTCTGTCAGCCGTCTACTGTGGTCACATCAATAGTTAAAAATTAAACAAACAAAACCCTGCTTTCTCCAGGAAGGCTTCCAGGATTAATCAGAATAGAGCCCCACTAGGAAGGGGTTTCTATTCCAGATCCAGTGACCAGCTCCCTTAAGGTGTGCATGGCACACACTAAGTCCTCGGTTGAATAAATCAGGTCTCCCCTGAGCTCAGAAGGTGTGTCTTGCAACGAGACAGGCCTTGAGCTAAATTGGCTAGGCCAGACGATTGAGTTCCATATGGGAAGAGCTCTGGGCCGCAGGGACATCCCAGAAAAGGCAGATCAAAAGAGATTCTGTCCTCACAGGTATGAAGATGAGATTAACAAACGCACAGCTGCAGAGAATGACTTTGTAGTCTTGAAGAAGGTGAGGAATCCTGCCCCCGCCACTCCCAAGTCCCCGAACAGAATGGTTTGAAGGGGGAGGGGAGTAGAAGTTTGGTCCTGCTAACTGGGGACTCTCTTTTTGGCCATGTGGGAGAGGGTGAGGTTCACAGAGGGAGGCCCCTGAGCAGGCTGGGTGGGGTGGGGGAAGGGCAGGACCTGGCACCTCAGGGTGCAGGGGCTCCCCTCCCTGGAGGAGGGTCTAAAGGGCCCACCAAACTTTGTCATGTTATGCCCGATGAGCATGCAGGCTTTATGAAGGTGATAGGGCCTTGAGTTGTGATAGAAAGTGGACATTTTCCAGGAGTGCATTCCAGGAAGTGCAAATTGGGGATCTTCTTGAGACCTCACAAATCCTCCTCTCCTGGTCTCAGCGTCATGGCCCAGGTCGCAGGCCACGTTCTTCTGCTCTGTACTTGCCAGCTCAGCCTGCACAATAGCCAGTTAGTAAAGTCAAGACTTGTCAGTCTGTGGCTGGCACACTACCCTGAGGGGAGCGCCTAAGGGACAGGTCCCCGGGGCTCTTCCCCCTGCTTTTCCCCTCACTGGCCAGGCCTGGGCAGAGTCCAGGTCAGAGCAAACAGTGACTGAGCCTTCTCCCAGGATGTCGACGCTGCCTACATGACCAAAGTGGAACTGGAAGCCAAGGTGGAGAGCGTGACGGATGAGATCAACTTCCTCAAGGCGCTCTACAACGCCGTAAGTCAGCTCGCGCCTGTCTCCAGGCCACGTGAGCCGCTGCCTTCCCTCTCCTGGAGAAGGCGTTTGAGTGGTGCTGTCCTTCGGACAAAAGTGACACCTTCCTGCCTGCACCGAGTCAGTCCCGAGCCCCCTCCCGAGCCGCTGGCTCCGCGGTGGTGGGTGTGCTCAGGAGCATCTGCTTGTGTCTGCAGGAGATGTCCCAGGTGCAGTCAGACACCAGCGACACGTCCGTGGTCCTGTCCATGGACAACAACCGCTGCCTGGACCTGGACAGCATCATCGCCGAGGTCCAGGCCCAGTACGAGGCCATCGCCCAGAGGAGCAAGGCCGAGGCCGAGGCCCTGTACCAGTCCAAGGTTGGTGCCACCGTCACGTAGCTTTGGAGAGTCTCCTCCATCAACCTCCCTGGGCAGGCCCTCCAGGAGGCCTGGCCCCACTCCAAGTCTTCTTCTCGCATCTCCAGGATGACCATTTCCCTCGCCTTCCCATGGGCCTGGTCTTATTAACAGATCCCTCCCTGCCTAATTAGAGGACCCTGACTTTGCTCTCACCCAAGGCATGACTTCTCCCCCGGAGATATTTTGGCTGTCATGTGTGGGGGCGAGGGTGGGCGCTGCTGGAGTCTGCTGGGCAGAAGCCCTCCCGTGCTTGAGAATCCCCAGGTCCAGCAAAAAGTTAGCCTGCCCAGACTGTCAGTGGTGCCACGGTGGAGGACTCCTCCAGCCGAGCCCCTCGTGCTGCCTCTCCTCTGCCGCCGGGGCTCTTCCACCACCCGCCTGGCACTTGTCAGTGTGTGCCGCTGACGTGAGCACACCGAGGGGTGGAGACCAGCGTCTCAAACAGAAAAGGGAAGGAATTGGGAGAGGGACAAGGAGCTCGGGCAGAGTTGGGCAGACACCAGGACTTCTGTCTCCTCGTCTCAGTCCCCGCCCCTGAATGGGCATAGCTGGCTCGTTGCTCTCCTGACCTGCGGGTGAGGGGTTGGCTCCAGCAGCGGCAGCGTCTGCCCCGAGTCCCAGCACTGTTACCTGCTAGCACAGGAATGTGGGGTGGTGGTTCTCAAGCAACCCCTGCCCCAGTGTGCCCACTCGTGAAATGCGGCCAGCAGTGCCTCCCCAGCAGGCAGCTGTGAGCTGCAGGGAGCTGAAGCCCAGGGCCTGGCACGAGGTCTGCTCACCTGGCGGTAGCTGTCGCACTGGAGGACAGACCCCCAGTGCCGAGGCGGGGTGGGGTGGGGTGGGGGACACGCCAATCTCCCAGCAGGGTGGCCTTGCTGATTGCCCATCTGAGTTTCAGTTTTTCCATCTGTGACATAAAGTGGTTGGATTGGGGACCCATGAGGCCCCCGCGGGGCTGCTGAAAGTGTGTCTTTTCCCTGGACACAGCTGGGAGAGCTGGAGAGCACAGCCGGCAGGCACGGGGATGACCTGAAGAGCACCAAGAATGAAATCATGGAGCTCAACAGGCTGATCCAGAGGCTGCGGGCTGAGATCGAGAACGTCAAGAAGCAGGTGGGCTGGAGGCAGAAGAACATGTGTCTGAAACTGTGGGTTTTCACTTGACCCTAAAACTCGGGGCTCAGCACTTACCACAGGGAAGTCATGCCCCTGCCTCAGGCGTGCCGAGGGGCAGGTCCAGCTCCAGGGGTGGACACAGGCTGCCTTGTGGGCTCAGGCCCCGCCTCCCTGGAGGTGAAGGCCGGTGTCAGCCCCATGTAGTGAGTACAGAGATGATCAGGAGGTTGGCCAAAGAAGCTGGTTGTGTGAAGATCAAATTGGGAGACCAGCCAAGGAAACCCACCCCTAGACGGGCTAGGTCAGGAGGAAGTTTCTCTGATAATTTAGGAAGGCTTCCTGGAGGAGGGAGGTTTTTGAAGATGCTCAATTTCTTCCATTAAAGAAAAGAGATAGAGGAAGAATCTGACCTCTCCCCGGAGGGGCTGGCCCTAGGGCTGAACCATGCTGGTCCTCCTCTTGGATGAGCGGGGACTTGGCAGGCTGGGGCTCTCCCCTCTGTGGACTGTAGTTTCCCTCTCTGCATGGTGTGCGGTGACCCCAGCCCAGGCCTGACACACAAGGCGAGCCTCGGTGACTCAATTGGACTCCTGCCCATCCCCCCCAGAATGCCTGCGTGCAGACCTCCATTGCTGAAGCAGAGCAGCGTGGAGAATTGGCCCTCAAGGATGCCAACACCAAGCTCCAGGAACTCAAGGTTGCCCTGCAGCAGGGTAAGGAGGACCTGGCTAAGCTGCTGCGTGACTACCAGGAGCTGATGAGCGTGAAGCTGGCCCTGGACATGGAGATCGCCACCTACAGGACCCTCCTGGAGGGCGAGGAATGCAGGTGAGGGGTTCTGAGAGGCCAGGAGGTCTGTGGCTCCCCTGAGCCCGCTGCCAGGGACAGCGTGTGTGCAGGTGCGCGCCTCCTCCTTTGAAAGGCTGTGTGATTCTGCCGGACCTCGGGGAAAGCTATGTTTTGAGCCATTAGTGGCACCACCTGAGCCTTATCCTTGTTGATCTGGCCCCCTCAGGTCCTGACATGTCTGTAAACACATGTCTGAGGAAGGAGGAGGAGTCATGGCATAAACATTATGTCTAGGCATTTCTTTATTATTGCCTTAATTGTAGATTTTTGAAGAATGGGTTCTGAGAGGCTGGCATGTGGGTGCTGGGCTCTTGCCCATGTGGGTTCAAAGATATTAATTGAAAAAGGAGGATCTCGAGGTGTAGGGAGGAATCCTGGGGTAACTCGGATTGCTCCACTGCGGTTACTCTCTGGGAGACTGTTAGTGGGGAGGGTCATACTTTAAATCCAACCTTCCCCACTAGAAAGGGGTGCGCCTGTTAGTATTTGAGGAGCGTCCAGCCCACCTCTTCTGTCAGGAAGGAGTCTGGGAACCCGGCTTTCGCTGTTGACCTAAGCAAGCAAGGTGCATGTAGGGCTAGGGAGGCTCTGATGTCCACTGCTAACCCAGGGGGGTCTTCCGCAGGATGTCCGGGGAGTGCCAGAGCTCCGTGAGCATCGGTGAGTACCGAGTTCCCTTCCCTGAAGGGGCTGGACTTCCTGAAATGCAGTTTCCCCGGGCAGGGCCAGCTCTGGTCCAGCTGTGGGGTTGGGCCTGGGGTCTAGCCCAGGGCTGCGTCCCAGCGTCCCAGAGGGGCCAACCCCCCCCGCCCCCCCAGGTGCCCCCTCTGAGGTCCGCCCTCCCTGCCCTCTGGGCTCTGGGAATGTGGGCTGGAGGGTGGGCTCGCGGGCACCCACCCCCCAGGCCCCTGACGCCAGGTGTTTCTCTGCAGAGTTTGCCCACAGCGCCAGCAGCAGCAGCGGCGGCGGAGCCGGCGGCCTGGGCGGTGGCAGCTCCTTGGGAGGAGGAGCCGGCGGCCGCGGAGGCCGGGGCCAGGGGGGCCTGAGCGGCGGGGGCCGCAGCGGGACCAGCCGCGGCGGGGGCATGGGCTGCGGCGCGGGCTCCAGCTCCGGGGGGGGCTTCAGCTCCGGAGGGGGCTTCAGCTCCGGAGGGGGCTTCGGCTCGGGCGGGGGCTCCAGCTCGGGCAGGGGCATGGGCTGCGGCGGGGGCTCCAGCTCCGGCGGGGGCTCCATGATGCGCGGAGGCTCCTCGGGTTCCGGGGCGCCGTGCGCCGTCACCGGGGGCAGCAGCACCTCTGTCAAGATCTCACAAAGCTCCTCCCAGAGCCAGTGCTCCCACCCCAAGTTCTGAATCCGAACCCCCGACCCACTTCACCCAGCGCCACACCAGAGCTCTGCGCCCCTCTCCACAGCCCGTGGGACCTTCCTCAACGCGCTCGCCGCCCTGCGCCCCTGCGCCCCACCTTCCCACACAGCTGGCCTCGCTGCTCTGAATCTGCGGGAAGGATGAGTTGGCCGAGAAACATCCATTCCCACAAGGTCGGGCCAAGGGCGGGGTCCAGAGCTGGGCTGTGCAGCCGCAGCCCCGAGCTCTCCGGGGTCCTCACCCGTAGTCAGACGCCCCCCGCCCTTCTCCTGCTGGTGCTTTGATTTCCCCTGAGCGGGTCTTTCCCCCTTTTTGGCTGCAAGAAAAGAATTCTCTGTTCTGTATTTCTGTATCTTCAATAAACTGCATTGTGTTTCAGACATAGTGGTAGAGTTTTCATTCTGGTTTCCAAGGCCCCTGGGCCTGATCTCTACTACCAGTGGGTCCCGGGCATCCCTTTTGCAAGAGAGGTCTGGCCCAAGCCCGGAGGGAGGCAGGCCCCGGGGCGGAGGTTCTGAGAGTGCGAGGGCTGGAGGTGCAGGGCGGTGCCTCCACCAGACAGGACTCGTCAGCTTTTCTAATTGATAGGATTTGAATGCATGAAGATTTCACTGCATTTGAAAGAAGTTGTAGATTCGATTTCCTTGCTTTTGAGTAATTCCAAATGTTCGAAATTGTTCAGCAATTATAGCTCGTTATGATGAGTTGCTGATCATTAAATATTCTTTTTTTAAAAAAAGATTTATTTATTTATACAAACAATAGGTACAGTCAGAAGTGTGGGAGGGTGAGAGAATCCACCAGAGACAGAGCGGGGAGCAGAGCAGGCAGAAGGACCGAGGTACACTGCTGAGGGGAGCAGCGGGCACGGCAGGAGAGGTCTGAGCTCCATGTGGGACCCTTGCTGGTGGCCGGGGATCGAACCAGTGCTGCAGAGGCTGCGGGCAGCTTCATAGCCCAGTGCTCAACCGCTGCGCCACCAGGGAGGCCCTCATTAGATATTCTTAAAGGCAATTATAAAAATTTCAAAAATACAAAAATGCAAGGTTACTCCTCCCCCACGCCCAACACACACACAGTTGGATAGAACACCGTTTGAGTGCAGGACCAGGGAGCCCCCTCTCAAACCAGGAACATACAGGTGGGAGAAGCCAAATACAGATGCACCTGGGCGATGGTGTGGGTTCGGTTCTAGATCACAGCAACAAGGCAAGTCACGTGAATTTACTGGTTTCCCAATGCGTATAAAAGTTGTTTCCGCTACATTCAAACTCTATATTGTATGTGTTTCCCAATGCAATAGCATTGTGTCATTATTTTTTTTTATAGAAGCATGCTTTATTTATTTGTTTGCTGGTTTGTTTGTTTGTTTTGTTTATACATGCACTGGGTACAGTCAGAAGCGCGGGAGGGTGAGAGAATTCACCAGAGCCAGAGCAGGGAGCAGAGCAGGCAGAAGGACCGAAGTACACTGCTGAGGGGAGCAGCGGGCGGCAGGAGAGGTCTGCGCGCCACGTGGGACCCTCCTCTGGTGGCCGGGGAGCAGCCGGGGATCGAACCGGCGCCGCAGAGGCGGCGGGCAGCTTCGCAACCCAGCGCTCAACTGCTGCGCCACCGGGGAGGCCCGCATTGTGTCATTTTTTAAAAAGCAAAGGATATAACTTAATTGAAGAAAATACTTTATTGCCAAAAGGAAAAATGAAAGGAGCGCAAGCTGGTGGACAAATTGCTCGGTTGCAGGGGTCACAGAGCTGCTGCTTGTAAGAGGTGCCGTATCTGCAAAGTGCAATCGATCTAGTTGTGTCTGAGAAAAGTTGGAAAACATGAGAACCTGCAGAAGCACCTTTATAGAGCACGGTCCTCATTAGCATAAAGGACTGGCTAAGGGTGTCAGATAAACAAAGAAACAAAGAGCACCTGCGGCCTTATGGTGATCACAGAAACCCTTAGATAAGACGGGTGGGAAGATGGGGAGAGATCATCAGGTTAGAAACACCAAACAATTGCAGCTTCAGCAGAGAATGTTCTAGCTCCAGACCGAAGAGCTTACCTGGAGTCATCTAATTCTGAGAGAGGGAAGCCTGAGGATTGTTCCACTGCAGCCTGCTCTCAGCTGGGCTGTGACCTCGCCTCTCAAAACCAGGCCCACTGTTGGCCTCACATCCTGCTGGGGCATCTTGGTGCCTGCAGCCTGGAGGGATGTGTCTTTGGCCCCTAATGACAGAGATTGCTTCCAGCTTGTCTCAAGTTTCTTGTTACCAAGAAATTACACATCCTTTTAAGTCTGTGATTAAAGGTTTTTTTTTTTTTTTTTTTTTTTTGCTTCTTTGGAATAATTTGCAGTATGTCACAGGGTCTTGCGTTCCTCCTCTGAATGATTTTCTGATTTGTTAAGGGAAGCTGAAAGGAAAATGTAGTTTTTTTCTTTTTATTCATTAAAATTTTTTTTACATTGTTCATTTTTACACAGTATTTGATTTCTCCCCTCAGGTGCAGTCCCTGTAATCCCCCCTGCCCCCCACCATCAGCTGTGGATATCACCATAGTCACTTGTGCTGTTCCCACCCCTGTTTTGATCCCTTTTCCTCCTGGATGGAAAATATAGTTGGGTGCATAGAAATTTGTGTGTATTGTGGAAAATACAATAATCTCTAAAGTGGAAGCTGTCTTGTTATTTGCTTGGCCCTCTGCTGATGGCATTTATGAATTAACTCATGTAACCTTCACAGAGGTTGCCAGTGTTATTACCTCCCCTTTACCACTGAGCCCACTGAGGCATGGAGTGATGGATGAACTTATTCAGGATCATAAGATTAGTAAGTGGTGGAACCAGGATTCAAACTCCAGAAGCCTAGGCCCAAAGTCTCCCTAAACTGCCTCATAAAGAGAAAGCAATACAGTACAGGGGTGGGCATGTTGGGGAGTGAGGGGGTGCGCTCAGACTTTGAAACCTACTTGCCCAAATGTGATCTGAGCCTGCCACTTACAGGCTGACTTGTGGGCAAGCTGTTGGCACTCCACCCTTCCAACCCCAACCCTCCAAATCTAAGCAGAAAAATAGAGGTTGTTTGGATTGACTGGGACCATCTATTTAACTCCTGATGCATAGTAAGCTCTCAATAAGGGGTTGTTGCTATTTATGGTCAACATTTCAGAACCCACCTATTCTTAACTGGAGAGAATAATAACAAACAGTTAATTTCTTATGTTTGTATTGCGCTCGAATCTTTCCAAGCAGGGACAAGGTGAGGCACAAACTGGGGATTTCCCGAGTCTCATACTACCCCCCTTGGATCGGAAACTCTGATCCCTCCCGCCCAGCCTTGTCACCTTGAATGTGCCCTCGCTTGCTCTTCGATCCAACACATAGAAAGAAGCATCCTCTGCCCAGGCAACCCAGTTTCCTTCTGGGGACTCAAAGTTTCCCTTGGAATTTAACCCAAGTCTAACCTGCAGCCTTATTTGCCTTCGGGTCCACACCTGCACAGTTTTGCCTCAGAGACTAGAGAGCTGGCAGCTTTATGCCTGGCGTATAAGTAGTCATGGCTTCAGCATGTGGGATGGAAGCACTGAATATGCCTGAGCAATATTACCTCTGGACTTTGGCCATGAGAACG